GCTCTCCACACAACCTTCTCTTCTCCAGGCTCAACAGCCCCAACTTCCTCAGCCTGTCCTCATAGGGGAGATGCTCCACTTAATTAATTAAGCTTCTTTTTCAGCAGAGTTAAAAAGCTTCACCAATTCAAAATATGAGTAAGAGAAGAGTAAATCTGAAGTACTGCAGTGCTATAGTCAATATACAGCTCTGTGGGGTTTTCATCTGGTGGAAAATCAGAAGTGTCTTGTATCCCCTAACTCTTGCTCTCCAGGCCAAGACATAACTGAGGTTGCAGCTTTGGGGTGACTGGATGAGCCACATCTCACCCAGAGGTGATGCTCTCACTGGCACCTGCATTTCCCCAGCCTTTAGACAGGCCCAGCACATTTTCTGCACTCAGAAGGTCTCATAGGATGAATTAGCATGGAGAGTGGAAGACCAGTTGGATGTTTGATAGTGCCTGTCATGTAAACTAATTTCTGGCTCAGATGAATATCTAACAAAAAGGCAGATCCAGCACCTGGGACCAGCTCCTTGAAAGAGCAGTTCATCTCCCTTCTCCTCCCCTGTTGCCATGGTTGCCATCACAGCAGGACTTGGCCTCAGGCACAAAATCACTCACATAAAAGAAAGGCTCAGAAAACTCCTGAGGGTTGAAACTTACTAAAACCCAGTCCAAATCGGTTCCCAGCGTGTTGACCTTTTGGGTTCCTTTGCCACTAGTCAGAGAGAAATCAGCAGGAGATTGTGCAGGGGCTTTGCAGCAACCTAGAGGCTTCTCCAAGGTTTCTCCACCAGTGAGGACCACCAACCTGCCTCCCCCAGGAATTAAGGGCTGTCACAAGTCTCACCAATTTCTACTGCAGGTGCAAGCTGCACTCCATAACCTGACATCTCTGCACCACAGCAATGTCATTTGAGAGAAATTCTCAGACTCCACTAACAAGAAAAAAAAAACAAATAAAAAGCTTTTTACTGCACAGACCATTCCTTCTCTGGGGAGGGATGGAGAGAAGCAGCAAGCCATATATGCAATTCTTAGCTACACAGCTTAACATGACAAGGGAATGTTACACACACTCAATGGAGCAGAGATTTGATTGAAATACAGGGGTTTGAGCATATACCTACAGAAGTAGTTGTGTTAATCACTGCACAAAACAGCTTTGACTTTTTACCACAAATTTACATTTTCTTACATTTTTTTCAAACTTTTTATTTTTAATAGAATGAGCATGTAAGTCAAAATACACATCGAAATCTGCTCATGACACAGTGCAAATGACTTCTCTCTTCCCCCCTGCATGCCCCAAATGGTGATAGCAGAATGCTATATGATACCTAAGGTGAGGCAAGGAAAAGTAAAACATTGACTAATCCCAATAACTCCTGCCTTTCACTGCTCAGCTGAATTCTCTATAGAGGAAACCTGTCCTGATGACTATAACTTACCTCTTCTCGATGGTCTTCTCCAGAGCGCTGAATATACCACCTAATAGAGGCTTGCTGGGACTTAGGAATACATTCCAGAAAAGTTGAATTAAATTCAATGCCAAAAATCACCTTTTCATCAGCAGTTTCATGACTAATGCCTGGAAAGCAAACATGGTACAGGAGATTAACCCTGACCTGCTTTTTAAAGCAATGGGAAAATAGCCTGATTCAGAACAGATGCTAGAAGAGTGAGTGAATTAGAAAAAAAGCAAAAGGGAACTTAACTTTTAGCTTAAACTATAACTGTGAGGATTTAGAGGTGGCTGCTAACTCTCCTTCAGTGCAACTGGTTTTTAAGGAGGGCAGTAAAATCTGTATCATGAGCTTGCTCAGTTTTAAAGTTGGGGCTTTCACCACGGAGGAATTTCAAGTCTGACCTGTATTTTTCCTTTAAGTAATGTAACTCCTAAACCTGAGATAAACCTGCTAAAGTTAGATTGTATGGTCTGCTTTGTTCAGCCCAAGCACTTTAAAGCAGTCACAGGGCTAAGTAAACTCAAGCTTGCCTTCCTTCAGAACAATTTGAAATCATAGAATCATAGAATTTAGGGGTTGGAATGGAGCTCAGAGATGATCCAGCCCCAAGCCCTGCCCTGGACACCTCCCAGCAGAGCAGGTTGCTCAAGGCTCATCCAACCTGGCTGTGAACACTGCCAGGGTTGGGGCAGCCACAGCCTCCCTGGACACCCTGGGACAGTGTCACCACCCTTAGAGTAAAATACTTTTTTCTAATATCTAACCTAGGCTTTCCCTCCTTCAGTTTGAACCCATTCCCCCCTGTCCTATCATTGCAGTTCCTAACACAGATCCCTCTCTGGCTCCTTGTAGGCCCTTCAGATATTGCAAATTTGCTCTGAGGTCTCCACACAACCTTCTCTTCTCCAGGCTCAACAGCCCCAACTCCCTCAGCCTGTGCTCACAGGGAGATGCTCCAGTGCTCTGAGCAACTCTGTGGCCTCCTCTGGACTTGCTCCAACTGTTCCATGTCCTTGTGTTGAGGACACCAGAACTGTGTGCAGTATTCCAGGTAGGTCTCACAAGGGCAGAGGGGAAGAATCACCTTTTTTGACTTGCTGCCCACACTCCTTTTGATGTAGCCCAGGATGCTCTGTAGTATGTTTCAGACCAAATACTGAAGGAGCCATGAGGAAATTTGGGGTCCTTTCTTGGTCTATTTTATACCTGAACAAATAACTTCTAATGTCTGCATCTTCATTTCCATTTCTAGTCTGTCCTATCTGTGTCTTATCTGCCTTACCATCCCAGTAAAGCTGTTTCTTATGCTCTGCCAATAACAGAAGAAAAGCAGTGTTGTCTCCCAAATCAAAAGTTAGCTCAACAGCAAAATGAATACAGCTATGGATTATGCCTTTAGTATAATAAGTACCTATATGAGATCTATAGAAATTCAAGATCTCTGCACTATTTCACTGTGCCACTGAGATTTCAGTAGAGCCAAACAACTTCATGCAGCCAATGAAGTCTCTGGGATGAAATCTCACACAGTGGAGCAGTGAATTTAAGTAGGTTTTGGGGCCATAATGCTATTAATTTTTGCAAATGGCAAAAAATAAGCCAAGAGCCTGGAGTGACACAGGTCAGCTTCATGGTTTTATGGCACACAGGAGTCACTCCCAGCTGGATAAAATTGCTATTGGTGGCACTACCAGGGGCAAAGGATTAATACCAATTTCAGTGCTAAATCCTTTTTGATTTGTCTAATAAAGTTAACTCTTACAGTATCTCTTTATCCTTGCAGGAGAATGTGACACTGTCAGCCTTTCTGCTAGGGTTTCTATAACCTCAAGCTTTGCACAGTCTCAGATAGCAGTGTTTAGAGATCCCCAGCAAGCAGCAAGCAAGGAAATTCTGGCCCTTGGGGATGAACAGGAGTTTCACCATTGACTTTGATGGAAACGAGATCTTCCCCTGACTTTGTAACTGTGTCTGCAAGCACACATGTACAGCCAGAGCCCTCTAGACTGTGCAACAGACTTCAGGCTTTGATCTCCTGGCAAGCAGCTCTGATTTCTGCTCTGCCTCCCACTGAGGTCTGCAGGCACCCAGCACCGCAGCGGCACGGAGCAAGCGGAGCCCCATGGAAAGGGGTGGCTTGTCCCAAGGCCAACGTTCAACTGGGGGATACAACCAAGACTGTTTTGACTGGATTGTTCACTTTAATAAGCAGCTAGAAGGGTCCCAGACAAAGCCACACTTGGGTCTGAATGCTTCTCATTTCTTTTTACGCTGCCGCAGAGATTGCTGAGCGCCGCAGGGTTTCACTCTGACAGTGCACAAGGGCTGCACATGCCAAAGCAGAGAGCCAGACCCTTTGGCATCTGAAAAGAGGGTGTGGGAAAGGGAGGGGGAAGGCAGCAGGGAGAAGGGGGGGAGGCTCTTGTTAATAACAGGAGTATTTAAGTAGCTGCGGGAAGGGGAAGGGGCTGGTTTGGCAGCTGAGCCCTGGGACCTGTGTCAAGTGGGTGCAGTGGAAGGGGAGAAGATGACATGTTCTCCATCCACCCCTGCAGGTTTCCTTGTGGGATTAGCTGCCCTGTTTCTGGAGGAAACATCACCCATATCCCACTGGCTTCATTGAGGGATGTGTGTGATAGTTTGGTGTTGGGGCACAACTCTCAGCCCTGTGTGAGTGCTGGGGAGGGTCACCCATCAGGGATGCAAGGGTGCTGGGCCATCCTGCTGTCCCTTACTCTGCAAATGTCACTGTGGGAGGGATAATGCACATGAAGTGGGGGAAAAGCAACTGTTCTGTTGAGTTCAGCAAGTTTTTACAGAGACCCTCACAACAAACTCATGCCTAAGCAACAAAAGAGCAAGGAAGGTGCAAAATACTCACTGTCTTCCACATCCCAGCACTGTGCAACAGGGTCTCCATACTTGACATCCTGTCTTCTGGCTCGCCTGTGGAAGAGCATGCAAACTTGTCACACTCCAGACATAATTGCAGGAATTCAACAGCAAAATACAGAGCAGCTCAGCAGATGTGGACTTGCATCGCTCCCACCCTACTGCTGAAAATTACTGCCTTAACTAAAACCAGCCTCACCCTCAAAGCAGCATGTGGCCTAGAGATTTGTAAAATTTACAGCAAGAGAAGGGCCTGTGATTTGGGGAAAACCACTGGGAGGGGAAGGAAAAAATATCTGTC